CTCACTCTGCAGATGCCCCAGGTGCAGCCAGCCTGGGAGGGACCGCTGGAGGTTGGCTCCAAAGTGTGTCTAGCCCGTCTCATGTAGTCCTGTCCCCCTGGCACCTTCTAATTAATTTCCTTTCAATGTACCCAAATCTGGGGCACTAAAACAATATAAATATGAATGCTCTAGAAATATGTGCTAAAATGATCAGTAAAGTTATTATGAAGTTGGGATCCAGGAGTCACACTGTAATCCCAGGCTCCTGAAAATTTCTGAGATTTAAGAAGAATATAACTGCTTTCTTCTTATCCTTGTCTATGGCTATAAATATAGCTTTTAAGCCACTGAATCATCTATGCTCAACAATCACCCAAAAATCTTTCAAAACAGAGTACTCCTACTCTAATCCCATCATATGAAAATGAAGGTAACATTAGGAAATCATCATTTCAATTTACCTCAAAACTACTAACTTTGTTTAAAGGATAATGAAACTAACATTTGTTATGAGAAACAGAACATTATCACTTCAGTGTATGAAAATAATTAAGGATATATTTTTACATGGTTGCAGAAACATGTCAGTACTGGAGGAAAACTTTTAGTTCTCAGATTCACATTTAGTTCTAGTTACATGCAGGTGTCAGTATCGTATGATAGAAGATGAAAGAGCTCAAGGGATAAGGACTGAGAAAATTTTATTAAAATTCTACTGTGAAAAAATAATAATATGCAAAGATATAGTTATGTGGTAAGAAACCACCACCCTTATTACACAAGAAAAGAGAAAATAAAAGGTACATGTTCTTTTAAAATTTCTTTCAATAACTCTTACTTTCCTTTAATAAAGAACTTCTGGTATATCTACATGTTCAAGGTATTTACATTCCAACATAGTGAATGCTCTTTATTCTCCTTGCCCACCTTATTTTTTTAATTAATAAATTTTAAAGAACTCTAAATCTTCTGGAGAAATTTTTGTAAATTTTATGGCTGCAACAGTACAAGAGACCATGGATTTTATACATCCCAATGGTACAGACCCAGCTGGAATAACCCCATTCTATCAAAAAGCTCATTTCCTCAACTAGATGAGGTGATGACAGACTAGAGCAGCATGTAATTAGGCAATGCCCTGCCTCTCAATGAAATCTAGTGTTGAGCATTGGTTGATTAACATACTGCAGTGAATTTAAAAAAAAAAAATAAACCTTGTAAAGAAAAAGCAGGCATCTACCTGTCTAAATGATGTTCAGAGTTTAACTTGGTTGCAAAAGCTTATCAAATAAAAAATACATAATTGACACCATATTTTCACTTTTCAATTATATATGCATCTAACTTATTTGATCATAAGAGCAGTACCAATTTAAGCATTTCCTCTTGAGATTGTCCATAACTATAATTATAGTACATTCTAACAAAGTAGAGTAAAAATGGTTCTTTAGCCACTTGTTTTATTAAAAGCCATCTGCTACAATAACACATTGGAAGACAGAGAGAAGACAGGCAGTACCAATAATCTGACTAGGATAAACACGGGAAGCTTTATCTGTTCATACAATGCTCAACAAACCAGAGACTTGCAGAATCTTAAAATGGTTGGGATTTTATTTATATTCCAAAAAGATTTTTGCATCAACTGCCAAAGTAAAATTGGCAATTATTGCCCTTTTTGCTCTCTGATAGAGTTTCGAGCACATGCTCTCTGCAATTTATAAACTTGGCCCTCTTCTTTGCAAGTTTATACTGTTTTATATTTAGCCAATAGAGGGTATTTTTCAGTTCACTGATTTTAAAAACTAATATGCATCACCATCCTAGCACAGAATTTAAATACAGGTACTCAAACATTTATTGAGTAGACATTATAATACTTGACAAAACTTTATTACATCAATCCTAGGTTATCAATTAAATATTCTCACATCATACCTTTTTTGATACATGTATTCTGCAGTTCTTCATTTCATATGTTTATTCTAACAAGAATAAACCTGTATTACATTCTTCCCATTTAGCAAGGGACAAGCACTGATCCGTGGACAGTGGATGTAGTTGGATAATTGGGGTGGGAGTGAAGGAAGGAAAGATTTCACTTTCTACGACTCCCTGGATAATCCAACCAAGTCACTCACTGACAGGTGAGTCATTACATAACGCCCCCTTACAATGCACTCCCTCTCCTAGGCTGCTCAGACATATTTAATTCCCACCTGGCTCACCCAAGCAGAGCTGCCACTTCTTCATCTATATTCCACACACATGATTAAAATATCTATTATTCCCTATATCAGAATATACTCGACCTATCTGTGTACAGCGGGCTTCCTCCAAAGCTATGAACTCTTTTCATCTACCTAGCCCTAGAAACCATAGAGAGTGCAGTCATAAAAGGTGCTCAATAAAAATTCTGGGGACAGGTTAGAAGGGGTTTAGGTGGGGGAAAGGGGACATATGTAATATGTTCAAACAATAAAGATTTATTTTTTTAAAAGAGTTACTGAATAAATGAGTGTGTTAACAAATGAATGAAATTAATGACTGCCTTGCAATTTTGATTATATCAGACAGTCATTAGGAGTGACTTTTAGAGAATATCATTTGACTTTATAATATACTTGAATATGCATGACCACTAAAATAATAACTCGTTAAATCACTACAAAAAAAAGTCAAGTTTTAGAATTCAAATATTACATGATATATACTAGCCAGAAAAAAAGACACACAAGAAAAGACAAATCTGACACTTCATGCTTCTATTAAAAAGATTCTTCTCCATCCCATCAGCTGTTATTCACATCATGGGTTCTTATGAAAATCATGTGACTGGAAGTTGTCACACATATTAAAGTAGAAGTCTACACTAACACCATAGCCATTGTCACTATTAATATGTTCATGATATAATATCATATTAGTAAAAATAGTAGAAGCTAATCTTAAATACTTCCTACATGCCAAGCACTGTCTCATTTTATTCAATTCCCACAACAATCTCATCGTTTGCTTTACAAATGATGAAACTGAGGCTTAGAAAATTGGGATAGCTTCTCAACATCACAAATTAATATGTGGTTAGAGTGAGACTCAAATCCAGGAGGAAAGGTTGGTGCCCACTCTAGAGGGTGGCCGTGGCTTCAAATTCTAAGCTCAGCTCCTTACTTACTAGCTTGGGACCTTGGGCACATTCCTTACGTGGTGCTTGGTATATACGGTAAAACTTTTATCATATATGAGCATACACTGTAGTGTCAGGAGTTCGTAAATAATATTTTAATTTTTCCCCCAAAGTCTGAAATCTTGAAAGGTATGAATTAACAAAGCTTCTAGCTGCTACCCCGTAAGCAGCCATTAAATGTAATTTGTTATTTATATGAAAAAGGGATCTGACATCCAGAATTATCTTCTTTGCACATTTTTGCTCAGATAGCCCAATCAATAAAAGCTTTTCTAAGCATAAACTTCTAATATATGTCTATTTCTTTCAATATTTATTTTTATTACACACCAATACTACTGTATTATACTATTTTTTTAACATTGTCTACAAATTCTCTGCAACTATTTGTACAAATTTAACCATATTTGAAATTCCTGATTTCAGATTTTTAAGTAAGAAGACATAAAGAGATTTTATAATAACACACATGTAGTTTTCAGTGGCAAAATCACAAAGTGGTATTTAAATTGCCAAATATGTCAAATGCCATTGTCTATAATGAGTTTATTTCCACAGCATGTACTCTGTCATCCATCATCATAACATTATTTCTTACTTGAAGGGATATATCAGTGTTTTTTAAACATCTTGCTATTAACATCATGTGACAGCAACTTTTCAAAGCGTTCATCTATCCTATGAGTTAAGGTTAAATTAAAACTAAATAACATATAAACCCACATAATCAAGCACATGAAAACTGTAAAAAACTGTAATATTCTGAAAGTGAACATATGAGTGTCAGCACCACTGCTATTCAGCTCCAAGCTGTGCAAACCCCTTCTTCTTTCAGACCACTCCTGAACCACATGGGACAAGTGGCCGTTGGGCCCAAGAACCTAGTGAGATCTCAGTACCACAGCACAGCAAATATCAGCATAGCAAGTACCAATACAGCTTCATATCCTTGTATGTTTGTATTTGAAAAAATATATAAATGAAACTTTAGACATTGTCCCCATGGATCATGCACATGCCACTGTAGAAAACATTAATCATAAAAGATGGTTTAAAATCTGAATTTAGCGGTGACTGAATGTCCTACCTAGATACTCAAAAATATTTGTGGAAGGGAGGGGGCAAAGAAGGAAAGAAGTGAAGAAGGAATTAGAGGAGTTAAGGAATTATAAAAGTTGATAAATCCTGAGGAACAATGTCTTGGTTATAAAAAAAAAATCACATTTATGAATTAAAAATTTTTTAAAGTTGCTATTATTTTAAAATCTACGTTTTAGAGCAGATGAAGAAATTAGGATCTGAGACCTACAAAGACAGTCTAGGATTGAGAATGACTTTTACCATGTTCTAAAATCAGCCTTTTAGACCTAAGCAAAAGAATCTACATTGAATCTAGGGGCTCTGATGTGGGCAGCTGCCTACATCATTGAAGCGCAAGATTCCTGAGGCACAGAAGACCTTTTAATCTCACTTTAAGTTAATTTGATTTTAAATCTATACTAGAAGCCAAGTATATTGTGAACAAGAATAACTATTACATAAATCTTAAACAACAAAAAAAAGGGGTTACTTTATTTCACTTAAAATATAAATATATTCCAATTTAGTAAATAGTTATTATAAAGTCACTCACAGGAAAAAATGAAAGCCAAGGCATAAAGTGTTCACAGCTGACTGTGGTGTATTATTTCCACTATCCAGCAAGGGTTCCAAACAAAAGGCAGAATTATTCACTGTACCCCATCAATAGCATTTTGAAATAGGTCCAAAGCATTATTAGATTTACGATTTAAATGTTGTCCAGGAGCATAACATGAAAATAGCTTCTTACCTTTGTGATGAGAACTCGGTATATATCCAGCATTGCCTGGTTGTCATGACAGCCTGCTAACAACTGCCATACCTCTGCCCTCAGAGCTTCAGGGACGCCACTCTTCACCAGCGGGTACAGTCCTTTCGGTCGTGCACCAAGGTTATTGTGCCTGAAAAAAACAAGAAAATAAAACATTCATACACCCCTCACCACTGCTGAACTGCTGTTGTTATGAAAAGTATGTTGATGAGTTTACATAAAGTATAAGCCTGAGTCAAGAGAGTATGGGGAAGAGCATGAGGTAATGATCGAGTTTAAGCTCTGTGATGTCTTTGACTATGTTCCTTGATCTTATCTTCTTTATTGAACCACCTTATTCTACCATCAAGGAAAGGTTTTTTTCTTCCTCTCATTTACAAACATAATAGGCTTAACACTTTGGTTAGGAATTTGACAAACCTAGTCTCCAGATTTTATAATGAAGTCATAAACCTTCCAACCCTTGGATCTATAAATACACCTCTTCAAATTAACTCAAGAGTCTCTTAGGATATGTACAGGAGATCATGATTTAAAAAAAAACACATTCATTTGACTCTTAAGATAAAAGTAGTTTAATTGTTCTTATACTTTATTGTACATTTTTAAAAAAACTTTTCTATAGTTTCTTCTGGACTACCTGCCTACACATAATCTGATATGTATACTCAATTTAAAAATAATGGTTTCCATCTGCCTACCCTGACATGGCAGAATCTTTGCATTGGCAAGATTATTTATTTTATTAGTATATGACATCATGATTATCTTTTTTAAAAACTTAATTATAATAAATATAAACAGAGTGCCTTTTTTGATAGTTCCAGATTAAAAAATCCAAAAATGTAAAGTAATATAGTCAGAAAGAATAAAACAGACTGAGTTCTAGTTTATAATCAGTGATGAAATGAGTATTTCTAAACTCTACAGCCCCTTTTTGTGGTAACTCATGGTAGAGAAAGAAAATGGAACCCTTTAATAATGCTATCTATGTGTGTTGGCATAGAGCATAAAACTGACTGCTCTGAGCAATGTTATGCCTGGAGAAATAATAAGGAAAATATGTCTTTCAAAAGTAAGTTATATAAGACCATACTGGGGAAGACCTAGATAAACTATCCAGCAAGGGTTAGATAAACATAAAGAGTGTTTCTGAATTTTATTTTAACTTTTATGCTTTTAAAAATTCATTAAAATGTTAAGATATATGAACACATATTTTAATACAATAAATTATCTCTATATATAAAGATGTAATATGCTAATAGGTCCTAATGGTGTCCCAGTCATGATTGGTCAACAAGCTGGAGCTGGTGGGCATGGATGGGAGCGGAAGTCTTGCCCAGCACTATCTTCACACTGTCTTGGAGGCAGAGGCCGCTCCCAACGGAGGTACATTCAGGCAGGAGCTGGTGGGTGGGGACACAGATAGAGGGGCCTGGCCGAGCTGCGATGCACAGCTTGAGAAAGCCCAGAGTGGACTCAGACATTTTTTCCTGGTGAAGGGACTGAAGTCTGTGTTCATGAAAACACCTTGGCAGCTGCGGCAGCTGGCAATGGCAGCAGCAGCAAGGTGATGGGGGCGGTGCCTTCCCCTCATCAGCAGTTACCTCCTGCAGAGGGAGGCCAGACTGCAGCTTAGGCCTGATTCTGTAGGACATCCCCTGATGGCTCCCAGATTGTGAGAGGGGGCAGGTTGAACTGAGGGACCCTCTCACTCCCAGTGCACAAATTTCATGCACTGGGCCCTTAGTATAATATAAAATCTAACTAACTCAACATCAATTATGTAAAAATTTTCATTAAGAAAAATAAATTTTTACCATCTTCCTAGCAATTCTCCCCAGGAATACAGGATCTTCTCAGGACAATCCTTAGATACATCACCTGTTCCACTTGAGAGTTCATTATCACTCTCTGCAGAAAAAAACAACACAAAAACAAAAGCAAAAAACATTATGAAAAAATGAATTCAGCAATGCAGCAGAATATAAAATTAACGCCCAGAAAACAATGGCATTTTTTAAATATATTTTATTGCTTTTTTTACAGAGAGGAAGAGAGAGGGATAGAGAGTTAGAAACATCGATGAGAAAGAATCATCAATCAGCTGCCTCTTGCACACCCCCTACTGGGGATGTGCCCACAACCAAGGTACATGCCCTTGACCAAAATCAAACCCGGGACCTTTCAGTCCACAGGTTGACGCTCTATCCACTAGGCCAAACCAGTTTCAGCAACAATGGCATTTTTATACATCAATAATTAATTCTCAGAAATAAAAACAAACAAACACACACAAACACACACACACACACACACACACACACACACACACACAAATCCCATATACCATTGCAACAAAAAAATTAAGATATTTGACCAAGGAGGCAAAAGACCTGTATCCTGAAAACTATAGGACGCTGAAAAAAAGATAGAGGAAGATATAAACAAGTGGAAGAATATACTATATTTATGGATTGGTAGAATTAACAACATTAAAATATCCATACTACCCAAAGCAACCTACAGATTCAAGGCAAGCCCTATTAAAATACCAACAGCATATTTCATAGATCTAGAATAAGCACTCCAAAAATTTATGTGGAACCAAAAAAGATCCCAAATAGCCACAGCAATCTTGAGAAAGAACAACAAAGTTGGAGGAATCTCAATACCAGATATCAAGTTATACTACAAAGCTACTGTCCTCAAAACAGCCTGGTACTGGCACATCAACAGGAATGTGGATCAACAGAACAGTGACCCCAGAAATCAACCCAAGCCATTATACTCAATTAATATTTGACAAAGGAGCCAAGAGCATACAACGGAGTCAAGACAGTCTCTTCAATAAATGGTGTGGGGAAAACTGGACAGGTGCAAGCAAAAAAAATAAAACTAGACTACCAACTTATACCATACACAAGAGTAAACTCAAAATGGATAAAAGACTTAAATGTAAGTCATGAAATCATAAAAATCTTAGAAGAAACCATAGGCAGCAAAATCTCAGACATTTCTTGTAGCAATATATTTACAGCTACATCTCGTAGGTCCAAGGAAACTGAGAAAATAAATGAAAATACATAAAAAATAAAAAATAAATGGAATTCCCATTTGAACCAGTGATCCCACTTCTAGGAATATACACTAAGAAACCTGAAACACCAAAAAGTAAGAATGCATACACCCCTATGTTCATAGCAGCACAATTTACAATAGCTAAGATTTGGAAACAACCCAAGTGCCCATTAGCAGATGAGCAGATAAAAAAGCTGTAGTACATCTACAATGGAACACTACACAGCTGTAAAAAAGAAAGAACTCTTACCATTTGCAACAACATGGATGGACCTGGAGAGTATTATGCTAAGTGAAATAAGCCAGTGAGAGAAAAATAATTATCACATGATCTCACTCATGTGGAATCTAATGAACAAAATAAACTGATGAATAAAATAGAACCAGAGACATAGAAGCATAGAACAGACTGACAGATTTCAGAGGAAAGGAAGGGGTTGGGAGATGGTGGAAGTGATTAACTGAGAAATTTATATGCATGTATGCATAACCCATGGACTCAGACAACAGAGAGGTGAAGGCCTAGAAGGGGCAGGTAGAGGGTGGAGGGGTCAATGGAAAAAAAAACACAAAAACAAAGGGACATCTGTAATACTTTCAACAGTATATAGATAAATTTAAAATAAATAAATAAAATCTATATGCCACACACTATTCTAAGTTTTGCAGGCATTATCTCATTTCATCCTTTAAACAACCTAATGCGGTAGTCACTACTAGTTTGCCCACTTAGAAGATGAAAAAACTGAAGGCACGAAGAGATTAAGTAACTTGCCTGTGGTTACCCTGCTAATAGAGGGATAGGATTACATCTCAGTTTGAATCCAGAGTCTAACACTACCTCTCCATATAATTTTTCCTACCACATTTCTAAAGGAGGCTGGGCTTGGCATTAGCAGGTACCAGTCTGTGCCAAGTGCCAACATCTAGTACATGCTGGAGCCAAAGCCGAGAATGGAAAAGCCAGGCCAAACTAAGTTCCTTTTAGTCAGTTAATATTACACCCTGTTCATATCTTATCAATGCATTTACTACATTTTGCTAAAACTGGCTACTTATGGGTCTTTTTCTTCAACTAGACTATAACATCCTCAAAGAAGAGTCATGTCTTATTTATTTTTGTGTCCATAACACTTGGCCCACTAAAATTTTATTAAACTTTTATAAGTTTGATAAAACCTATTAAGGAACTAACTTGAACTACAGATAGCTTTCTAATGATCTGAGCTGATCCAGGAATCCGCTTAAAAAATAGAAGAATAAATCATTAATGTTTCCTTTATAGGGAACATCCTGAATAGTAACTCTACATTTTTCAAAGTCTGTAGTACAGACTCTTCAAACAGAGAACACTGGCAAGTGTCAAGTATCCTCTTGGTTTTCACTGTGACTAGAGAAGCTCCATTTCCTCTGCATATTTATTAGATAAATGGTGGCAAAATGAAATTGTATTGCCCAAGTCAAAAAGCACCAAAACCAGTTTGGCTCAGTGAATAGAGCGTCAGCCTGCAGACTGAAGGGTCCCAGGTTCAATTCCAGTCAAGGGCACGTACCTTGGTTGCGGGCACATTCCCAGTGGGAGATGTGCAGGAGGCAGCTAATCGATGTTTCTCTCTCACCGATGTTTCTAACTTTCTATCCTTCTCCCTTCCTCTCTGTGAAAAATCAATAAATATATATATTTTTTTTTAATTTTAAATGTCAAAAAGCCTTTCATACATCCACATGTGGATGGAAGGCCAAAGAATCTCAGCATAAGTGATCTATAACCAGTATCTCTCCCTCTCTATCATTCACATATGTAGACTATTCTTATGAATTATATTCTTCAATGTGCACAGTGAATTCTCAACTAAGGACATACCCTCTGAAGTAACAATGCACTCCCACATATTGAGAATTGCTGTTCTACATGTTATTCCAATTTGAAAAGCTCTCATAATCTGATATATTAATATCCTATGAGTACATTTATAACTTAGAATATATTCCTTTCCTTTTAAAAAAAAAATGTGATAAAATTCAACATACAAAAAGTGACTTACATGAAGGTCAGCTACTCCACTGAATTCAAACCACAATCCATACTTCTATTCTTAGCCCTAAAATATGGCTGCTAGTCACAGTGAAAGGAAAGGCAATATGTTGCATCATTCTATGATTTGGGTTTATTGTTTTACTTATGCAAAGTATCAAACTCTTTTTAAGAAAAGAACTAAGAATGAAACTCAAGTTTTCTTACACAGTTTTAACCCCTCAACTGAATAACATGACCATTATAAATGTTCAATAGAAATTTTACTTTGTGTAGCCTTCAAGGGAATCCAAATTCTAACCACTGGAATTCAACCTGTTTTCCTCTGAGTGTCTGTACCTCTAACATCTTAAATTTATTTTATTTTACTTATTTCCAGATCGTAAGCTCTTAAAGACTGGAACTGTTCTTAAGCATACAATATCTGCTGCTTGTATATGACAAGCAGCAGAAGACTCAAAGGTCTCTTCTAATTCAAAGATTCACTAAAAATTGCAGAAGTGGTTTAGCTTAGGGACTTAGTTTCTCAGTAAAAAAAAAAAAAAAAAAAAAAAAAAAAAAAAAAAGGCCTGCTTTGTACTTTGTTAATTCTAATAAAACAAGAATAAACTATTTCTCATACTAAAAAAAAAAATAAAAAGGAAATATGCAGCGGTATCACCATCACCAGAATGTGTACATGACCAGCACAGTGGTCACTACCATCTTCTAGTCTGAATCCTAATCACTAAGTTGGCAGCGGAAGTGGGTTAGGGGGTCAGCATGCAAGTGCTCCTAGACACAAGGGTTCTGAACTTCGCAGGCCACCTACCTGTGCCTATGGGACTAAAGTCCAGAGGACGTACTTCACAACACAGAGAACAGCTACAAAATGTTGATGATAGTCCCAAACATGTACATGTTGAATAAAAGTTAACCCCAGTTATTACTATTAACACGTCATAGCAGCAGTCTACAAGGCCTATCACAAAAATAAGTTCCAAGGTCTATATGCTTCTAGGCACCTTCTAAACCTTACCACCACTGACAAAGTGTAGGGTCTCCATATTTCACTAGAGGTCAGTGTCCGGAATATTTACATTTCTTCAGTCAGATGAAGCATGATTAAGATGTCTTAATCTAGCATAAGTACCTGTGATTCGACTTACAACCATCATGCCAAGAAAAGTAGGTCCTAGTCAAAGAGGAAGCAGGCCTGAGTGACCACAGTGTGACAGAGAAGGCACCGGTGAACTTCTAGGAGGAGGGGAGAGAATTCTAAAGGAAGGTAAATTCCCTCCCCTCAAATTAGGGTTATTTCTGATTTTCTAGGAGTTTTGATCTGTATATGCATGGTATGCTGGGATCCCAAAACATTATACACCTCCTAACAGTTAAAAATCCAGAAGGTGGGGGTCTGAGTGGAAAGGAGGAGTGACTCCCGTCCCCCACACTACTGCGAAAGCAATGCTCACTGTCTTCCTGACGCCCCTTTAGACTAACATGCAGGCAGATGTACAAACCTAATGAGATGTGTAGAATTTAACTGTAGGTATTATATTATGAAGTATTAAATCTCTGATAGGAAGAGCAATATAAATGAGCTTTAATAGTCATATAGGCACTTACAAAATTAAAATTAATATTTGCTACCTAACAAACATATAAAAAATGCTCAACCTCACTTTGTAATCAGGGAAATTAAAATAAAATGAGACACTACTTGTCCCTAATCAGAGTGGTAAAGCTTTAAAAGGCTGATAATATCTGCTGTTTGTGAAGGCACAAAGGAGAGCGGGTGCGGAGCGGGCATACATTT